AAAAAAAAAAAAAAAAGACATTTTTACCTTCGTAGCTTGAACAGATCCTCTCACGTTACAAATTATATCGATTGAGGCTTAATCGCTTTAATTCTAAAGAGCTTTGAAGCTTCTTTATATTCGTCGTTTTTATTTCTTTCCCCAGGCATCTATACGCTCTATTTTAACTAGCGGCTTGCACTCCCTATTCACCCACTCGTAAGTGCACCATCATATTTTTTTATTTTTCCTTCATCCTCTCGCGTAGTCGTTTTTAATTTTCTTCTTCTTCTTCTTCTTCTTCTTCTTCTTCTTTTCTTTCTTTCTTTTTGATTATCCCTTCTCTCGCACGCTCGCTTTCATTAGCGTAGCTCGTCGTGTCCGAGCTCATCGGGTGACACCGGAAAGGATTCTGCTCGATTTTCTAGCACCGGCGAACGCCTCTTCGGAGCTGGAGTTCTTCCGGCACCGAATTCACGTGGAAAGGGATTCAGTGAAGAGAGCACGGGAGGCGCTTCGACATCAGGAGAACGTGTTCCAAGGGAGGCAGAGGGCTTGGAAGCAGCGTAGCGTCAAAGCGACCCTCGAACAATTGCTTCAGGTACGATTCTCTCTCGCCGAGTTCCATCTAATCTCTTTTTTTTTTTTTTTTTTTTTTTTTACATTGCATCCTTTCGCTCGTTGGTTCGTTCGTTGTTTCGAATTTTTAGGAAGAACGCGAACTTTCCGACATGGAGGTGAATTTGCATCGAACCAAGAGCCTTTTGGGCGAGAAAGTGATCCATCTGAGGCATTTAGAGCAATCTTTGGAGAGGGTGGTTAACGCGAAGACAAACGAGAACGACGGGAACGCGACCAAAAACGAGGAATTGACGTTGAGCGATATGTCGAGCGTGAGCAGCGGTATCAGTTCAACCGATCTCGGGACCGACACGTTCGTAGGTGAGCCCCCTCCAAGTAAACGACTCTCTTTCTATTCTGCTCTCGATTATTTCTCGATTATGTATCCTCTCTCTGTTTTGTTGCTTCATTTTCTTTCAAGTTCATTTCTTCGAGACTTCGAAATCCCGCCTTTCGTTGATTTATTTCCACTCAAGAATTTATTTTCCATCTCGTGGTCTTGATCCTTCGTACTCAGACAAACCGGATCACTACCAGGAGTCGACGGAAATCATCGCAAGTCTGGAAAACCTAAACTCGGAAATACGTGAGATATGGGGCGTGCTGAATAAACGTCAGGACACGAACATACCACCGCCTCCGACTTTGATGTATTCGTATTTGCGATGGCTGCGTTTCCATCATCTTGCCGCCGAATCGAATAATATACAAGGTGAACGGAAATCCCAATCTTATCGTCCGATGGACGATAACAAACGGATGAAAAAAAGATTCCCTCCCTAACTCGGTCTACTTTCCAGGAACATTCGGTGCTCCAAACATTCAGTCGAACATCCTGTCTCAGTTGACAGTGGCTCAACCACCGACACCCACCGCGCAAAACATTATCGCCCAGTACGGTCCCAATAGCGGTTTCACCACCAGCGTGTGCACGGTTGAGAAGCATTCCTCGAATCTGATGGAGAGAACGTGGAATCTACGGGATTGGCTGAGGCAAGCTTGCGTCGAGGGCACGGATCAGTCCAGGTCGAACGACTCTATAAAAAGCAGCCCGCAATCCATCGAAAAATTTGGTTCCAAACGACAATCGTTAGGGGATTCCAGTACCCGTTTCGTCGACGTAGACTCCATGTATCTACACGTGTTTCTAAACCAATTCAAGAAGACGTGTTTTCGTTAGTTGTATAGTTTCCGTTATCTAGATCTCTTCATACGATCGAGAACGGAACAGTCGTTTGGAAGTGAGAGTTTCGATCGAGAGATTCGCGAAACTCCTAGCTTCGGCCGAATGTGCGCAACGTGCTCATTCTAAGAACCTCCCCTTAGCTTGTCCCATCCTATCGAGCTCAAATTAGTCTTATCGCCGAATCTGCGACAAACGCAATTGGACGTCTTGGAGCCCCGATCGAAACGGACGCGAGCTTCGAGATTGCAACTTTTGCAATCTTCTGCCCACGCGTCCACAATTTTCAAGAACGCTCGTCGGCGTTTCTTACGATTTTATCCGGGGTGGCAAACCAACTGGACAATTATTATTATATTCGTGCCAGAAATTTTGACGCTGGCCCGCTGCTCTTTTAAAGGTAATTGCAACGTTATAGCGGATGATCATGTATAAAAAAAACGTAACACTTTCATAATGGGAATACGAACGGATCTCATCGTGCAAATTACTCGCGAGTCGTTGAGGAAACGAATCGAACGTGTGTGTGAGTGAGTGTGTGTGTATGTGTGTGAGAAAAAGAGAGAGAGAGAGAGAGAGAGAAAACAGGCCAAGTTCTCTATTGTAAATAAGAATTTTTCTCGATATCGCTCGATACAAATCCAATCTCGTTCCTTTCTCCCCGACAGCCTGTTGAACCTTTATATATATTTTCGAGATCGATTTTTCCGTGAATGTAACAATGTATAATATGCGTACCACCTATATATATATATATCATATACATCTATTTAGTAAATATACATGTAATATTTGGGATTGTTTCACGCGAATTAGATTGGAAATCGCGTTTGAGACGGATGTGTGATAAAATCTTGGAAAACGCGTGGATCTTCGGCGTACGAGAAGTGTCGATTCAAATTTTATGTTTTATCACGATCGTAAAATGTGATATATCTGAAATCAAAATTGTCAACGGAAAGACTTAGCTTTTGTATCGAGTTAATTGTTGTAAGTCGCGTATATAATAGCGTAACGGCAACAAACAAGGGATTCATAGACAACTCGAGCTAGTTTCTTTTCTCGAATGCCACTTCTTCGAATGCCTCGAATTTTGCGCGCGTCTCTCCGTTTAACGCGGTGTGCGTCTCTCGAATGCCAAACTTTCATAATTATCGAGATACTTTCTAGAATCGAATCACCGATATATCTCTACCGTAAAGGAAAAGTAGGAAATGTTTCTGGATCGATCGATCGACCAGAAATGGCTAATTACCCCATCGATATTTATTATTATTCATTTTAGAGAAACGTTTCAATAGAGAACGTTTTTTCACATTCCGGATATCGTATAACTCGCAATAATTCTGATCTCATTAGATGTATAGCGTAGAGAGCGTTTAATATAATCTCCACGTTGAGGAACGTGAGAACCGTAAAGTCTGACGTGTCTCCGCAACGTAGAATATTGTCCCGTGAAAAAATTTCGCGTGTTGAATCTTGTTTCAACGTAGCTCTTACTCGAGAATGGTTCCTTCTTTCCTGTTATACGATCTCTTTGTATATCATCGACATTTTCACTCGAGTTTCGTTCGACTTAGCGATCAATCCTGATGATATTAATCGACGTTCGTATATATCCGTGAGAGCACGGATCGAAACACGGACTATATACACGTATAGTTGATTTTATATCCATTAAAGTTAATGATGATCTATAGGAGATTCGAGTCGATATTCGAAATTGTAGGAGTCGTTTTAAAATCGTTCGACTTACTCGAAGGTTTCGAAGCGTAGAGATTTTTCATTAGCACCGTCCTTAAAGAATCGTATAAGCAAACCTTCCTCTTCCTCCATACGGGAAACATGTATCGACGTTTATCGCTTCGGATGTTGGTAAATCGTTAACGAGTTACGTCCAATGATTCTGCGATTGTTTTTGGTGCTTCGTTCACAGTGCAATTGTTTAAACGGAAATAATTCGTTTTATAACTCGATCGCGCAGTTTTGTTGTACTGGATATTATTATATTTTTCGCACACATACGTTTTGTAAAGGTGTCGATCATTTTTCTTGTTAAAATCCTCGCTAAATATCAACGAGGCAACAACGAGGCCGTTTAAAAATCGTATTAAAAATGCGATTACATTTTAAAGGAAACGCTTCTGTTTCACAAACGATATTATCGAAAGCATTTCCTTGTGCAACGTACATGAGACAAATGTTGTTTGTAACGATCGAACGATTCGAAGCAATAGTAATTTTATTTGGTGTAATGGAACGCGAGCGCGGCCATCCTGGAGATGGCTGGAGATACAAGAAAGGGTATATTGCCAAATTTAATTCACGAGGAATTTATTATTAAAATAAATGGTGCATATTCCAGAAAGGAAAATGGTGGTTCACTGCTTTTTTCTTTTTCATTCGTCGATTCGCAGAACACCAGAAATGCGGTGTTCGATAAATTAATTTTGGTATACCTTGTACATTGTGTAATATATTGGTATATATTTGTATGGACGCAAATATATATGCTGTGCAAACCAATTCTTTGATTCCTGGCAATTCCATTATACACAGTTACTCACGCGTAGAGTTTCAATTATAAATAACATCTTCCATATCGATTTTTATATATACGTATATACGAAATTCCGAAAGCGTTCAGTTTTTCTGTGCAAAGTATTCGAAAAATTTCTTCGAGCCGATCCTCATTTCTTCCCGAAACCAAGTTCGTAGCAAATAAAGTTAAATAAACTACTACAGGCCGATTCAATAGCTACCGCTAGAAAAATAAACTGCAATCTGTATGCGTGTTTTCGCATTCGTCGCCGTTTTCTTCGAACTCGTCTTTATTCGGTAGCCAAGAAGTCATTCGATGCCATTTATCTTGACTTTTGTTTTTTAAAGAATATTGCGCCGCCTTGATAACAGGTGAAATTTTGCATACGAGCAATCTGATGCACGATGAATCGTCGCCATCCAATCTGTCGATCAGCCGATCAGCTAGATTCTCGTCTCGAGCTTGTTCCAGTAAATTCTGAATCTGAAAAGAAAATCCGACATCTCCCAATTTTCCATCTTTGCTTTGTTTCAGGGCTAATGACTCACTCTCTCGTTCTTGCTCTCCGTAATAAGTCTCGCTGGATCCCAAGATGAAGCGTCACTCTCATCTTCCAAACTTCTACCAGAATTCTCTTTCGGCTTCAAATTGAACAACGAGCTTATCTGCATCTCATTATTGTATTCTCGATTATTCGATATTAAGATTAAGACGAATACATATAAATACGTAATAAATAAGACAAGTACCATTTGTGCGAGGAATATGACACTGTTCACAGCAATCGCTGTAACTTTCTGCGAATCCAATCCAAAGAGACGAAAGAAAGCAGACATGAGGGTGGAAGGGCCAAAACCTCCCTTATTCTTCGCATCTTCGTCCTCACCCCGTTTCTCCTTTTGCTTACCGCCCAGACTACTCGCTACCAAGTCGGCAATGTCCTTTGCAGTTTCCAGATAATTCGACGCGTACTCGAAACCCGTTTTTATCTTGTCGAGCACACCTGCAAGAGATTTTCACAAATATTAGAAAATTGTTGTTCGATCGATCGTTCGTGAGTTGATCGTTAAAATCGATTGTTACGTCAAATTTCATTTTTTCATTACCGACCATCGTCCTGTTGAGGTGAACTGGACCCAAAGATAGCCATAGTCGAGATGTAAAAGAATACGCACAGAAAATTCATCGTTACGCGACCAAAGTTTTTCGAACACTAGAAGAATTATACTCCAACATCCGGTTATAACGGATGTTAATTACTACTCGTTTCCACATTGTTGAATCGCGACGTTTCTGTTCCTCGTTGGTCGACCAAGATCGAGATTCTTCTCGCTTTGTCAACCAAGCACGAGAATAGAAATCTCAAGACAACTCTTTGGACTAGTATAAATCGGGCTTCGTCGTTGAGAAGTCGAAATTGAAACAATTCGGTTAAAATACGATTTAAAATGAATATCGTAACGATATCGCTTTTATTCGTGTTTCTTGGCTCGAAAATTACATTGGCAAATCGAACGTCTTTTTACACGCAGGAAGTACTTTGTTTGAGCGAACTGCCGATGAGCGAGTTGATCCAAATAAAGTCCACGCTCGGGGACGAAGAAGGTAAACTTTTTAACGCTTTAGAAAGATATACGATTTAAAGAAAGAGAGAGAGAGAGAGAGAGAAATTTTTCTTAAAAAATGAATCGAATCGAATCGCGTACAGATGTCGAGGAAGACGAACAACCGGAAGAAATATCGAGCAGAACATTTTCGTTGTCGTTGCCTGTCGCGCAACCCCTGAAAAGAACAAACGGAAAGCCGATGAGAAGGTACGAGGATCATTACGAGGAGAAAGGAAAGGATACGAAAATTTCGAAGATATTTCAATTATCGGTGACGGCGCTTTCGTTCCTTGCTTTCGGTGGCTACCTTCTCTGTCTCATAATAACAGGAATTCGTCAAGGAAACACGGGCAATGGAAATGTTATAGTGCTCTCGGTGAGTGAATATTTTCATTTACTCGATAGGTAACAACAAAATTGAAAGACGAATCGAAACATTCGTTCGTGATAATCCTGGAATTTTTCAGAACTTGCAGGGTTTGCAAGCGTATAATCGTCCTAAAAGAGACGTGCCTGCCTTCGAATCATTAGAGAACAATTTAGAAATTGAAAAGTTATATCGAGGGATGATTCTGCTGTCGAAATATTATGCAATGTATAAAAACGTATAAAAATCCTGTCTTAACGGATCCCGAAAATGTGTATTGAAACGAAAGATTTACGTTGTTCCTCCCCCCCTCTATCTTTAGATGTTTAGATCTTTGGCAGAATTTTTTCTTAGAAAATCTTAGATGATGAAAAATGTATGTCTCGAATTTGAAAATCGACGCATCGGAGCATTGATCACGAGAGAATATGAGAGTCGGGCGATAAAAGTCGGTCGTGATCGAACTCAATTAGGGGTTCGCTTATCATGAATCGCTGGACTCTTGAAAATCCTAAAACCTAATAAAATCGAATAGAGGATCACGGTGTGTACATATCCCGAAGAATATTCTTAGCATGTGGGTAGAGGCTGCTTCAAACATGGCTCTTCAAATAAACACCTAAGTGACTGTATACTCCGAAAGTCTGCATGCAAAGATAACCATATGGCTTCCAGAGATATCATCAGCCATACGTCTCTATGCTATTATTCCACAGATACGTATAACCCGAATAGCATCTATTTTTGTTTTTTTCCGACTTTTATTCCTCCTCCCTATTTCTCTGTTAACGTATGACTGATTACGTTTTCGTTCCTACGATTCCCTACGATCGTAAGCGTATTTATTTAACGATTAGTAGTAAGTTAATTATAGCGATAAATATAGAAAGTATATAATTTCTATGAAAAAAAAAAAAAAAAAGATTATGAAAGAAAAAATGTAATCTGTATAAAAAAGAGAAAAATATATCCAAATAAAATTAAACTACGTCAACTCGTTGTGCGTCGCAATGTTTTCCCAACGATTTTCTTTTTCATTAATTTTCCAGATAATTAATCCGCGTTTCATCAATTTCCAATACAATTCAATCTTGTTTCACACGCGTCGAACATTGTTTTTCAAATATTTATTCGAGAAAAACGCACCGAATCGGGAATTCTTCCGACCAATGCTCCATCGAGCCTGACATCAGTCTCATCGTCCTTCAAGAACCAATCTTCTTAGAGCCACGCCTACAACTCTCGTGTAGACCAATCCCACGTACGAAATTGCACCGAGCTCCGGTGATTTTTTTTAAACCAAATTCCGTTCTGAACATGGCAGGAACTCTTGCTTCACTCATTCATTCCGATGCACTTCCGTGAAAGTCATTGTTTAACCTTTTAACTATTATCGTATCGTAATCGTATCCAACATCGATTCCACCATCGTCTGTCCGCGATCCGGAGAAGAATCGAACTATTGTCGAAAAAAGACTTACTGGTGCGTCTACTTTTAATCATGACACAAACCGCGATGTTCAGTGAAGTGTACGCGTTGCGCGTAATTTATTTTAGTTACCATTTTTAATAGTGGAGCATTGTTGGAAAATATTGTAACCGGTTAAATGTGTGCTTCGGAAAATTTTAGGATAATTAAAATATTGCGTTAAGCGATTATTTTTTTTTTTTCTCTCTCTCAATTGAAAAACGAAAAATGAACGAAGTGAAAACTCGTGTTGTGGATGGTACGAATTGTTCGAAGCAATTGAAGTTTGGAGTGGAGCGGATATTGTCGGATGAAATTTCCACGAAGAAAGCAGGTAAGAATATATCGGAATTATGTCTATTTAACGCGATCTTCGAATCATTTTTTCTATTTTCGTCGATCAATTTGATTCCAAAAGAAAAAAAGAAAAACAAAAACGAAACAAAACAAAAGTAAAAACGAAATCAACAATTCTGATTAAATATATGTGTTTCAAAAGATATACTCAGGCCACTTCCGGTACAATTTTCGATGGTGAGGTGCCCTTGTCCCGGAAGTTGCGTCAGATGCGAAGCTCTTCGAATTTGTCCCTCGTTTCCTTACGTTCAAACTTCCATTTCCGGAAGTTACGGAAGCACCAACCACGGAAACATCGAAAATTATACAAATATTTATCGGCCGGCTCCGCTTCGACCTGTCCCCAGAGGTGAGAATTAGAAAAAGATAATAAAAGTATATCAAATTCTGCCCAATATATATATATGTTCGAGCATGACGAAACTAATAGAGATTTATAGCGTTGGTTAATCGATAATTAACTCGAGAGTTCCTCGTTTTGACCCTTTTAGAGAAAATCGTCTAAAAACCCCGACTCATGAAGGTTGCGTCATTAACAAATGTGACCATATGGACCACTGTCTTGTCTCCCGAATACTCGACGGCAAGTAGGGCAAAATATTTACGCGCCAGTGTATTCTCGTGTTTCCTGTTCGTGTTTAAACGACATCTTAAGTGCCACTATTCGTTTATAGACGATGTAAACAGCGGTTTCGTCGTTACCCCCTTCTTGGTTAGTTAAAAAAGTCTCCTTCGTTCTTCCCTCTTTGAGCCGTTTATACCGTAATAAAAATAACGATATGAAAAAAAGTCGTCGAAGATTGTTTTCGCGCGAGAAAATTAAAAGGAAAAGCCAATTAATTCAAATCAAATATATAATTAACGATCAACGATTAAAGAATTCGTTAGAATTTATCAATAGATGTTGCAATTTCAAACGGTATTATAAAGTTCCAGAAATAAGTATGACCTTACTGACTGTCCAATTCATGCCGAGGACCGTACCAACCGGAGAGAGAACCGCACTGTTTAAACTCGTACACATGTTGTATACTTCTGTAGGGTTGTAAATCAGCCAGAAGTACCCAATCTTGGAGGCCTCTTGTTCGGGATAGGATCTGTTGAAACAGACACCCGTCCAGCTAAGAACTACCGTTTACATCGTGTCACGTCTCCCTCTAATTTGTAATCCTCCACTCGCGTCCAAATTCTCTAACTTGTGTTTCACCGAATGAAATCTATCTCACGCTGTTTACTTACGAATTTCTACAGTGTTTTGATTCTTTATTTTTTTTTTCTTTTTTCTTTTTAATTGTTAAACATTTACAGTTCCGATAACGTCTACTACCTCGACACCCACCAATCAATCAGAATCCAATACCAGAAGAAAGAGATCGTGGTCGAGGGCTGTGTTCAGTTCCTTGCAACGAAAAGGATTGGAGAGGAGATTTTCCTTGCAAAAGTACATCACGAAACCGGATAGAAGGCAACTTGCCGCCACTCTTGGCCTTACGGATGCACAAGTATAATTTTAAATTACAAAATACAAAAGAAAAAAAAAAAAAAGAGAAAAGAATTGAGAAAGAAATTGGAACGATGTTGTGTCGTCTACAGGTAAAAGTATGGTTTCAAAACCGTCGAATGAAATGGCGACACACGAAAGAGAGCGAAAGCGCCCCTTTGTCGAATCTTGACTCTCAGAAGGATTCGTCTAGGAAATTAGGAAAGGATAACGCAAAGAGTGAAAAGACTGTTTCGGAGGACGAGGAGGACATCGAGATCGAGGTTGATGTGTGAACATTGAAAATGTACATTGACGATATTTGACCCGGTCTAGTTTTCGAATTTACTGTAACACGATATGTTAAATAAAATTTATATACGTGAACAACTTCACTCTTCTGTCCCCACGGAATCGACACGCGTCTCGATCGCGCATCGCCATTTGCAAACGCGATATTTAATTTTTTTTCACCAGTTACCAGGGCAACTAGACTGTTATTTCTTGTACAAAACGCAACGTTGTGGCTAATAAACTCCGATTAAAATGCAACGATTGTTGCCAAGTTTAATGTCGATTTCTCGACAATACTCAGTGATGAAATTATCCAAGTCTCTAGGATCGAACGAGGGACAGAAATGCTTGAACCTTCAAAGTTCCGATATTCTTTGTAAGTATGTTTCGTCCCACTGTTATTAGGTTATTCAACTTTCTTTTCCTCTTCACCCTCCCCCCCCCCCTACCCGAATTTTAGCTGCATCGATGACGGAATCTCAAACAGCTTCCGTGGACGAATCATTACGAACGGACGCGATTCCTCTGTTGGATCATACAGCGACTACCGAGGTGTCACCGACCACGTTCGAGGTATCAACGATGAAGATCGATACGCAGGTCTCTGACAAAGCGCCATTGCCCTTCGACGAGATCCCTGGACCGGCGATTCTTAAGATCTGGGAGAAATATTGGAAATACGTGCCGCTCCTCGGTACGCAACTGCTTTCCAGTCTGCTAATCAACAGATTCACCCAGGGTACGATCTGTTGAAGTATCGATAGGTAGAAATGCGAAGAGCCCGGTCTTTTTTCTAATAAAAAAAAAAAAAAGTATTGATGAAAGAGTTTGGAAAAAGAAAAAAAGGAAAAAAAAAAAAAAAAAAAGAAAAGAAAATCTTATAAAGAATGATCGATAGAAAAGTTAAGAAGAAAATTTCATTTGCTCTTCGGATTTCGAATTACGCGATTTTTGATACGTTTTTGATTTGAAACAATCGGAAAAGAAAAAAAAAAAAAAAAAAGAATCACGTGAAACTCGTTTGTTTAGTCTGAGATAGTTTTGTTTTTTTTGTGAAGATAAATTATTAAATTTCAATTGAGCCATTTTCAGGACGATTAACGTGGAATCGCAATATCACACCTTTAAAATACTTGTTCAACGAATATGGTTGCATCGTGAGGATTAATGGACCTCTTTCAGGAGATATTGTCATGATTCACAGGTAACCTTTTCCCAGGTAATAATTTTCGATAATCTCGCCTAATTACATCTTTGCCTATTATCCTTGTTCCTTGCTGTAGACCCGAACACATAGCGGAAGTCTTTAAACAGGAAGGTGATACACCTGTACGTAGTGGAATCGATATTTTGCAACATTACCGGTTGAACTATCGTAAATATCGTCTTGCAGGGCCGTTCTCCATGTTAGTAAATAACTGGAAAATTATATAAAGTAGATGAAATCGAAACATAAATCCATCATCTAATTTGTTGAATTATATTTAGGCAGGGTACAGAATGGTTGGAAATCAGAGACAAAGTGGAAGACACGTTCAATCAAATTTCCTCGACGTTTTTTACTAAAATCGACACGTGCTGCAACGAGCTTATCACTAGGATATGCAAAATACGCAATAGACAAAATGAAGTTCGTATCAAATTCTTATTTAATTCGAATTCGATATCGATTATCCGTCATTTCAACGTACGATGAATTAATTATGAGAACAGGTGCCAGTTAGCTTTTACGAGGATTTGATTCGTTGGGCCATGGAGTGTTTCTGCGATCTAACGTTCAACAAACGTCTAGGCTTTCTGGAGCCGATAGGTTACAATTCATCGTCCGAAGCATCGAAACTTATAAACGCCTTGACAACGGCCCATAAATATATGAGCCGCTGTGAAACTGGATTTCAAGTTTGGCGATTCTTCTTGACACCATTCGCCAGAAAGCTTTTCGAGGCTTGTGACGTGCTCGATAAGTAAGTAAGATCCAGGAAATTTCTTTCCAAAATTATTTACATTTTCATAGAAAATTTCTTCTAATTCCGTCTTCTTCTTCAGTGTCATAGGAAAATATGTTCGTCAAGCCCAGTGTAAACTTCGAGTTCGAAAATCTCATAGCGAAGAAAGTTCAATGAATGACCGTTCGCCCGTTTTGGAAAAATTACTCTTGAACGAGGGTATTCATCCGGATGATATCTGTACGATGCTGATGGATATGATCATTTTGGGTATACAAGCGGTGAGAGATTGATAATATTACGCATGAATATTTCGATCGAAATTTTACGTTCGACGTTTGTGCGATTTTCAGACGGTAAATTCAGAGGCATTTTTGTTATATCACTTGGCAAAGAATCCTCGGACTCAAAGAAAAGTTTACGATGAAATCATATCCGTTCTGTCAAATGACAATTCTTCTTTCACAGAGAAGTCATTGAAAAATATGCCATATTTGAAAGCTTGCATTCAGGAAACTTTAAGGTATTGATTTTGATAACAATGAATTTAACGTACACGTAAGAATTGTATCATTAATATAAAACGAATCGTTTGATTCAAAGATTGCATCCCGCGATTCCGTACATCACAAGACTCTTACCAAAAACTATATCTCTTCATGGATACACAATACCTAAAGGGGTAAGCGTGATAGAATTAGATAAAATAGAATTAAAAATTATTATCACCTTATTGTGAAAAATAAAATTTCCATAGACGTTTGTCATAATGGCGAATCAAATTACCTCGCAACGCGAGGAGAACTTTGAAGATCCTTTCAAGTTCTGGCCGGAAAGATGGTTGTCCAATTCTTCGAAGGAGGACGTACACTTTAGCTATTTACCTTTTGGCCACGGTATAAGGTCGTGCTTAGGGAAAAATATGGCTGAAGCAAAAATGATGCTACTTACCGCGAAGGTATATAAATTTAATCAATCAATCATTATCATTCGATCGTGTAATTCTAACCTCGTTTTGCAGCTTGTACGACAATTCAGAATTGAATACGATTACGCTGATATCAAAAGCAGATTTATGATGGTGAATGTACCCAATAAACCTCTTCGTTTCCGTTTCGTGAATAGGAATTAGAGCATACACATGCGATAGTTAGTTATAAGCACCGATTATTGTAACGAACGGTGTAGATATAGAAATATATTTCATTTCTTGTTAATTAAGTTAGCACCTCAGATACAGCGATACGTAATTTAGAGTAAGTAACAATAGTTGTAATTTGTCACTCACTTTTATTCAATATTGATTACATGGAGAAAGAATAATAAAATATCGTTATCTGTCCATTAAATTATTTTTTCTTTGCTTGAATTATTCGAATGCAACGTATTTTATTAACGTGTTATATTATTATAGAGTTAATATAATTATAAAGAATCGTCAATTTGAATATTTAATTTTCATCTTTATACATCAGGACTCGTAGCGCGGTAAACATAGAAAGCACGTTCGTGATGAACTGAAATATTGATCAAATGAAATATATTACTTCAAAAGTATATAATTATAATTTTGTACGATTATCCACGTACCGAGCAATAATAATTGAGCGAGAAAGCTGGAATGATGCATCTGATTCTTAAGATCACTGGAGTTTGTGGAATCGTCGTAAACAATACGAATTTTTGTACTTTCAAAGATCGTTTATACCATTCCGATTCGTAAACCGTTCGCATCGTATTTTCACTCTGGGGGATAGACACATGTTTAATTTCTTTTTTTTTTTTTTTTTTGCAACAATTGATACAAAAGTTGGTTAAAACTTACTACATCCATTAAATAATCGGCTGGCCACGCGCACATAAATACTGCTAATAGAGTAGTTGCAGACACGGTAAGAAATTGAAATTTCACGGTAAACGGTTGCCGCTATAACAGTATTAATCGCAACTTCTTAATTTATTCCTTAATATTATTCCTTAATATAAGTAGAAATGGATAAGATTGTAAAATACTCACCCCAATAAAAATGACACCACCAAACACACTTTCGATGCCACAGATGCATAACGTAATTAGAGTTGTGTATCGAGCCGAGCTTACCACTTCTTCCGCGTATCTAACACAACAATAAATAATATTGTATAATTTCAGATACATATATAATATAATAATAATAATGCAATTTCGAAAAAGATGGTACGCTTTTTTTAAAAAATATTGATAGTACTCGTAAATTTTCACGAATAATGTTATTTCAGAAACTGAAACTTCGTTCGATATTCGTCGAAACTTCAATGACAATTCAAATTTCACGTTCCATCTTTTTCAGATTTACCTCAACTTGATTCCCTTTTTTTTTTTTTTCTCATCAACACAAAATCATACCTTCTGATGGCGTAATATTTTTCTATGCATTTTATCAGCGATTCGATATTTTCAACAGCGCGGAGTTCGTTCATCAAAATTTCAAAGCGCGCAGCAGCGAAGAGTAATAGCAACGCGCAAAATATATTGATGCACAAATGCGCGGAGCATTGAAAACCAACGAGCGCTTGTTGCACAAAAACTATGCTTCTCACGGGCTCGAAGTGAACGGGAAATGGATATTCCGCGTTAGTTGGGAAGGGATCGGATATGAAGAGTGTCCCCACAACAACGATAAGAGCGCACCAATAAAACCAAATTGCGGAAATACCATAGAAAATGGCATAGTTGTTCGCGTATCCTTGAAAGACTTGCCTCTCGTACGAGTTTGCATTCTCGCAGCAAAATTTCATCTCTTTGATCAATCGCTGCAACACGTTACTACGATCACTGAGATTTGTGGCGGTGTTAACGAGGATAAAATCTTACCTGAAATCGATCATACTGAGTGATACAAAAAGACGAATGTAAGGGCACTTGTATAACGGCAAGTGACAAAGACATTGCTTTACAGAACATCGCATTGTCGTTTCGATTCACGTATACCGCGTACAACAATGGAAAGAAAAGTAGAAGTGAATTGAGAAATAACAATGATCTTATGATCTTGAAACAACGCGTTTGGAGTTTGGTGGCTGTCGATGGAAGTGGCCAACAGCAGGATAAACTCACGATAAATTGGGTAAATGCGATCGCTTTTTCTGGCGTTGCATTTCCAAACATGATAACGTAAAGTCAGAATCGATGATCACAATCTTCACAAAACTGTTTGCTTCGATTCGATCGATGAAAATTGTAAGAGAAATAATTTGCGCGAGTATGATTCGATCGTATGCCGAAATAATGACGATCGTCTCGACGCCAAAGAAATAAAATATTGCGTTTGTTGTAGCACTAATAATAGACTTCGAGTTTCTCTTTCCGCTTATGCGCGCAATTATTTTCTTACGTGCGATTACTGCTGTGGGAAGGGTTGCATGTGGAACGTGAATTAGTGAATCCTTTGCTTGGAATCTATTTCTTATTAAACATAAATGTAATAGCACTGAATATTACAATTGATTCTTATGATCAAATCTGTTAAACTTTAGATAATACAGATAGTACTTACATTGTACCTCAAGTAACGATAAAGATAGTGCTTAATAGTTTCCAGAAGGTTTATATGTTAATATCTATAGGAGGGGATGTGAAAGTATCATCAATCAAAAGGAAAGTTGGTTGCAATAATACGAATAATTACAAGTAACATTACAATATACAGAGTAACATTGTATTGTACATTTACATATCTATATTATTAAAGTTTTTTAATCTTGATATATATGTATATATGTTTTTTAAAAATATATATATATATAATATTGATATCGGTATTTACTAAAATTTTAAAATAAAATTTCTGATTAAAATTTGACTATTCTTCTATTTTTCATTAAAATGTTCTATTTTTCAATAAAAAATTCATAAAAAGAATTTTTTATACATAAAAAAAAAATAGAAGAATTATCTTTTAAAAATCAAAAAAAAAAAATATTATACTTTCTATATTTTAAATTATTATAAATATTTATGTATTTACTTATATTTTTTTATAAGAAATTTTAAAAATTGTTTAATTAACAATTAAATTTTTAAAAAGATATAAAAATATGAATAAAAATCAAATAATTGTTTTAATATGATTTCAGTAATGCAATTCAAAAGCACAAATATACAGAAAAATATCTTAAAATGATATTTAATGTTCATTTTATGATGAATTCTTATCTATGAGGACACGTAAAGCGGTGAAGATGGAGAAAGTATTAGACAAGTACTGAAATGGTATAAATTTGTTGATTATTCGATTAATTCATTTCAACTGACATTCGAGAATTTACTTACCGAACAATAATAACGCAAAGAAAGTTCTGATAATATACATTTGAAGGAAAGAATTAATGGTTTTTGATACGTTATCACGCTTAATAGATTTCTTTGCAATTCTATTGTTTGTTCGTACCACACAGAATTATACGCACTTTGTGAAATGTTCATGCTCTAAAAATTATAGAAGATTGAATTAAAAAATGATGCAACTCATTAATCGCATATAATGGAATTTCATTTACCATGTCCTTTATGTAATCAGCTGGCCACGTGTAAAGATAAATTTCCGCGAGCACGGTAAAACATAAGATTATGAACTTCATTTTCACAAGTATCGGTGCATTCTATGTATAAATTTTATTATTATTAATTTTAATACGATTCTTTTAGCAAAAAGTTAGATAAAACCGAGAGTCCACGATAAGAAAATGTTTCAAAACACAAAAATAACAATTTTTGAATGAAAATTAAATATTTTATCACATATTTTGTGATACATTTCTTATAATGCTACGATTAAACATTTGAAAAGAAAAATGCTTAATTTATAATTGTATGATCCATTTAAAATTTCCAAGAGTTTATTTTGCACTCGTAATAATATTTTATTAGAATAAGAAATGTAACAAAAATTCGGTTTTATCCCACTTTCCACATGATATGAAAAATATCATAAGTTTTACTTACTATAATCAATATAATCCCGCAGAGAGTCAGAGAAAACGTATTTATTGCTATAGCGTAAAGTACAATAAATCGAAAATTATCGATCACTTGTTCCGCGTATCTAAAGAAGGAGAAAATGATAAAAATTTATTAATAAAATTTGAAAATTTCGATCTCAAAAAAATTTATATTTACCTTCTTAAACGTAGTTGTTTTTTAACGCAAAGGATCAACGAATGGATGTTCACGCAATTCTGCAATTCCACGGCCAAACATTCGAATCTCGCGGCTGCGAACCATAGTAAAAGCGCGCCCATCATGCTCAAGCATATATGCGCAGCGCCTTGAAAACTGAGGAAAGCTTGATGCATATACACGATAACGTTCACGGGTGCGTAATTAACGCGAAATGGATATTCCGCTTCCGATGGAAAGGTGATCGGTAGGACTATCGGTCCTAACGAAAAACATATCGCGGTCACGTACATGCAAGCTACGGAACCTCCACAAAATCTGCCGCATTTCTCGATATACTTGCAAAAAATTTCTTTTTCGTATTGATTCGCTTCCTTGATACAAATCATCATTTCTTCGATTACACGCTGCAATTTGTATACATTTAAAATAATATCATTTTTATTTTTTAGTTATATCAAACTATATCGAAGAGAATAACGACTTACCTGCAACGAATCGTGATTAACGAAGCATATAAAAGTTTGCATAATAAGCTGAGTCAAAGTTATCGACAGACAAACGCACTGGGAAGAAACGATGATTTCGTCGAAATGCAAATAGATCGAATATATCATGGGAAAGAGCAGCATGAAAATGCTGATAATGCTAACGATCTGTAAAATTTTAAAGCCAAATATTCGACCCCTGCCGCTACTCATAGGAAGTGGCCAACAGACTGTTATTACTACGCTGAGCCAAGTAATGCGAATCACTGTTTCCGGTGTCATTCGTTTCGACATTATTGGAAGAAATTGTGAATCGAATAAAATGAAATTTAATTGGGGGAGAAAGAACGATAAATAGAGATTGTCAGAAAGTAGCATATAATCACATCGTATTAGAAAACAACTGAATGTTCACATACACTGCTCGTGGTTTTACACGTGCGAGGAACTTAATAAATCACGTTCAATATTATTCTTAAAAATAACTTTTATAGGATACCGATTTTCTGGAAGAGTTTTTTTTTTTTTTTTTGCTTTATTCTCTTGTTTATAGTAATTATTGCTTGCATTATAGATCGGCGATGATTATAGGTAAGACAGGTGCAAAGAATGGCTATCACGCAATAGTATTCTTGACAGCGAAAGAATATCGAGTATGTATATTTAGTACGATATAGATACTTATAAATTAAATCATTAGCATGTTACATTGAGTGACTTTGTACTTTTTTTCTCTATTATATAAATTATTGTAATAATTTAAAAAAAATATCTTTTCAAAATATACAAAATACGTGTATATATGCAAAAATGTGATAGAATAAAGAGATGAAGATATTTTAAAAATATTCAAAGTTCAATCTTCGCAGAGATTGTTACTATTCAGAGAAGAATTTTCCAACATGGAATACATAAATATCTTATTTACTATGATACAGATGCAGCTTATGTAGAGACTGAAAATGATCTTCTTATGTTGCCATCTAAAAAATTACTATTGAAAAAAATGTACTGCATCCAGAGTAAGACTTTTCATTCATATATTTTATTTTAAAAAAAGCACAACGATTGCATAACTTTCTATTCAAGCAATAAATTTATTACACGTTGCAATAATATTCAAATAATACAAACCAGGATACATTATGACTCTATCATAGTTCTCATTGCCATGAAGTAGGACGATATTGTAGTTACAAACTATAAATCATTGTATATAACACACACATATATATAAGTCTTTAAAAATTAAAATGCTAAGTTATACACGAGACGAGTGACTGAAAATGCTTACGTTTGAACAATATTCCAAAGAAAGAGGTGGTAGTAAACTACTCATTCGAGTAAGAAATGCTTTCTGACTTCTTATCATCATGAAAATCACGCAACTTTTCATTTTTCTTGATTGGCCCAACCATTGAATATCATTGATCGATTGTGCGAATTGTATACTCTGGAAATAAAATTTTTTATTTAATTAGAATTAAAATCTTCACCATTCGAATATGGAATGAAAATGAACAATGGTAATCTGTTTAATTTTTAAAAGAAAAAATATATAGAAATGTGCACACCAGATGAGATGACGTTCTATCGAATTTTTATTATTGGCTGGCTTACACTTTCTCTTAAATCGTCTGCCGGCCAGGCGATGACGAACAAATGCAACATGCCTGACATTACCAGAGGAAGAAATTGAGTGACCACGCCCAATGATTGATTCTGAATATTATTACAGAAATGTTTATTTCATAGAAAATCATCCAATGAACTTTAACCCTCCATGCCACGATTTCCATGAAAATTCCACGAGTTTTATCTAATTTCTAGAATTTAATCTCTAATTTTTAACATAAGAAATCATCACAAAATAAAAACATTAGATTTTTATTGAGTTCTTTTTGAATATCATTCATTTATAAAGAATCAAGTGGCTGAAGGATTAAGGATTCCTTGCTCGGTTATTACGCTACACTACTGTGTGGTGCTAGAGAGGTAAGTTTTCGACCAAACTCACGTTAAGCAGGGGGAAAGCTCCGCATATCACAGTGCTTCCCATCGTGACGTTCGTTTTGAATAATAAAGTCTCAACAGTAGCGTTAGTATCCTCCACAAATCTAACCGTGACACAGTCTTAATTTATTCAACTCGGTAAAGAATCAACTCTCTTGAAGTAGCTTAATTCTATATTGAAGGATGTAATGCACTAAAATGCATTGTCTTCATTCAACGTACCAAAATAATATTAACTACATAAAGAAAATAAAAGATAAGAAAATAAAAGATAATACATTTGACTTGTGTTCAGTTATTTACATAGATGCTCTACGGTTGAAATGATAAAACAATATAAAAATTACACAAATAGAGAACATGAGAATCAATTTTTTTAAAGCTATTTTACTTCATTATCAATAATCTATTTTCTTACAATGCGTTTTATTTTTCCTATTTTTAATTCACGAATTTTTAAAATTTATAGGAACATACAAATAATATAAATGTTTCCAGTGTATAAAAATCAAATAAAAAGTACAAGAGATTTCACAAATAATTAAATAGAAAATATATATGTCATACCCTAATATTTTTTGATGTTCCTTGATACAGTTCACCAACATATCGTGATTATTCACATGCCGCAATTTTGACCGTAATACGTCTAATTTGGCAGCGGGAAAACTAAAGAGGATGACGATCGTGAAATCTACAAAAATGCAAAATGACGTTTGTAAAATGCAATAAACATGATTGACATAGACTACGCAGTATATTCCGAGTGGTTTGATGGAGAATGGAAGCCATCCCTCTGCGGGTAATTCTTGGGCTGAGAACAAAGGCATCAAAATGAACGAGCTCGCAGGTAAGATGTATCCCATTGCAACAGTTGAGAAGAATTTTTTGTAACGATTTATATATCCCTGAAATATTTTAATTTCGTATTTGTTGGCTATCTTCAAGAACGACTTGACTTCTTCTATCAAAGCCTAGAGATTGAAAATTTTGTTATAGTTATAGTTATTATAATTTTAACGTCATCAATTAAATATCTGTTTTGTTTTTAAATTGAATCAACCTGCAATTCGCTGTTGTTCCATTTGCAGAGAGCCAAATCCAAAGCGACTTCGAGCAAAGCAGCCATCTCAGAGGCAGTTTTCATCGATTTAGGTACATCACTTCGAAAATGAAAAATAGCAAGCATCAAGGATATTGTTAAAAAAATCACGTTCAATATCGTGAATGTCCACAAGATGTTACGAATAATGATGTATTTTTTACTGTCATTCGGATTAATTGGCCAAGTGCACGTAAACGTTCCTGTCAGTTCCAGAATATAAAGTACTTGACGAATGTCCATATTGAGCATGCCCATTTCATCGAATGTTTCTTCGAAGTTAGAAGATACCAAGTGAAAATAGTAATCTATCTTACGGAAGTGTTTATGGAATAGGGGCCAGTGAAAATCGATTCCCTCATTAAGCATTTAAGCACAATTCCATTATATGTATATTGCACGCAATGTATTAAGTTTTCTTGGATGAAGAATTCCCTAAGCCATTTATATGATTCAAGAAAAGAAGTTATTGTGTGATTTAATTATCGGATAGTAGCAAAATTATAGAGAAAAGTTACATGAAAGTAGCAAATAATAGCATCTAATACATTTTATATTTGATATACCTTCTGTTGTTTTCATGTGCAATAATTGTTGTAGCTATTCTCATAACATGTATCATGAGATTTAGAGATTGATATCGAAATATTCTTCTATCACTGGATAATATTTTTAATCTTTGAGTCTAAGACATCTTGAGTCTAAGACATCTTCCAAACCATCTTTGCCATGTTTCGAGCATCAAAAGGATTTAATCATTTATTGGTATGATTTTCATTTACAAATTTATTTTTTTGCAAGGATTTAATCATTTATTGGTATGATTTTCATTTACAAATTTAATTACTCATTATTTAAAAATTATATTTGTACAAAACGCAATTTTTCTATTCATATTATTAATCAAGTTCTCATGTATAATAAATTTAATTTTTTAAAAAAATGAAGTCTCCAATACAATTTTATTATCTTTGATATTATTGTTTTATTCTACTAGTTATATTCTTTCTTTGACTATATTTGTATATTTGTTTTGTGCTATTTAATCATAATTTTTTAACATCTCAAATATAATGTCAAAGAAAAATATTAGAAAATTGATATTTAAATTTAATTAAATTGATTAATAATTGATAAATAATCTTTTATAAATTTTTTAATTTTTTTATGATTTTATTTGTTTCAGAAACTTATAAACTCATTGTGAAACCAATTAATTAATTAAACAGAATATGATTTTATATACAGTCTTTATTTTATTATTATTATTATTATATTGATATTCTATATCATATGAATAATACGTTAATAAGAATAAAAAATAATAGAAGATAGAATAAGAATTAATCCTCAGTGCTGTCTCTCAAGTCCTTTTTAGAATGATATTTTTGGTACTCCAAAGATGGCGAAGATAGTCAATTCTCATTCTATCTCTAACCTATTTATCTTGTATCACAATCTCATTTACGATACTCCAGAGATGGCGCTGATATTATAATTTTTATATATTTCGTTCTAGAAAAATATAACGCATGCATATATTATAATTTTCTATTCAAACGATAAATTTATTACATATCTCAATAATATACATATTTAAATAATATAGGCCTGAATAATTATGATTCAATCATAGTTCTCATTGCCATGAAGTAGGACGATACTGTAGTTATAAACTATAAATTATTGTATACAATATTTATATGGATCTTTAAAAAATTAAAATTGAATTATTTTATATAAATTATTTTAATGAAGCTTACATTTGAACAATATTCCAAAGAAAGAGGTGGTAGCAAATTACTCATACGAATGAGAAATGCTTTTTGACTTCTCATCATCATGAAAATCACACAACTTTTCATTTTATTTGGTTGACCCAACCACTGAATATCGCTAATTGAATTTGTAAATTGTACACTCTGAAAATAAAAATTTTCATGTTTTATCGAATTAAAATCTGGAAATGGGATGAAAGTGGACGATGGAATTTTATTTAATTTGAAAAAAAAAATATAAAGAAGCAGTGCATATGATGAGATGACGTTCTATCGAATTTTTACTATTTATTTAGCTTACACTTTCTCTTAAATCATCTGCTGGCCAGGCGATGACATACAAATGCAAGATGCCTGATAACACCAGAGGAAGAAACTGACTGATCGCGGCCAACGATTGATTCTGAATATTATTATAGAAACGTATAATAGAAACGATCAATTCTTTGCTCGTTTATTTCGCTATACGCATTACAAATTGTCTAAAGAGAAAAGAGTTTTTTTCTAAACTCACGTTAAGCAATGGGAAAGCTCCGCACATCATAGTGCTTCCCATTGTGACGTTCGTTTTGAATAATAAAGTCTCAACAGTAGCTTTAGTATCCTCCACAAATCTAACCATGACACGGTCTTAATTTATTTAATTCGGTAAAGAATTTAAACTCTCGATTGAAGTAGCTTATCCTATATCCTTAAATGCAGTAAAATGCACTGTCTTCATTTAACGCACTAAAATAACATTGACTACATAAAGAGAAAAAAATAGATATATTTCACTAATTTTTAATTGTTTCCGTGAATACTTGACGATTGAAATGATATAAAATAATATAAAAATTATGTAAATAAAAGAAGGAGGGATCAAATCAGTTTTCTTAAAGCTAATCTATTTTACTATCAATAATCTACTATTTTTTTTACAATGCATTTTATCTTTTCTTAAATAATTTACGAACTTTAAACGTTTATAAAAGCATAAAAATTTTGATTGATGTTTTCTACTGTTTCAAAAATCAAATTAAAATTACACAAATTTTCAGAAATATTTAATTAAAAATTTAACAGATACATATATCTTACCCTATTATTTTTTGATGCTCCTTGATACAGCTCACCAACATGTCATAATTATTCACATGCCGCAATTTTGACCGTAATACGTCTAATTTGGCAGCGGGAAAACTAAAGAGGATGACGATCGTGAAATCTACAAAAATGCAAAATGCCGTTTGTAAAATGCAATAAACGTGATTAACATAGACTATGCAATATATTCCGAATGGTTCGATGGAGAATGGAAGCCATCCATCTGCGGGTAATTCTTGGGCTGAGAACAAAGGCATCAAACTGAAAGAGATCGCAGTTGAGATGTATCCCATCGAAACTGTTGAGAAGAATTTTTTGTAACGATTTATATATCCCTGTAGTATTTTAATTTCGTATTCGTTGGCTATCTCCAAGAATGATTTGACTTCTTCTATCAAAACCTAAAAATTAAGATCAAAAAGTTATTATAATTTTAACGTCACATTTACATTGAATATATTTTAGTTTTAAATTCGATCAACCTGCAGTTCACTATTGTTCCATTTGCAAAGAATCAAATCCAAAACGACTTCGAGCAAAGCGGCCATTTCTGAGGCAGTTTTCATTGACATAAGTATATCACTTCGAAAGTAAACAACAGCGAGCATCAAAGATGTCATTAATAAAATTACGTTCAATATCGAAAATGTCCACAAAATATTACGAAAAATAATTCGCCTTTTACTAATATTCGGATTAATTGGCCAAGTGCACGTGAATATTCCTATCAGTTCTAGAACGTAAAGTACTTGACGAATGTTCATATTGTTGAAGATATTTATTTTATCGAATGTTCTTCCAAGTTAGAATATACTAAATGAAAATAGCAATCTGTCTTGTGGAAGTTTATGGAATAGATACCAATGAAAGTCGATTCATTAAATATTTACGATAGTTCCATTATATATTGCACGCAATGTATCGTATGAAACAAGGCTATTATTCTTGGGATGAAGGGTTCTTTTACATATTGTAACATTTACATGACAGAATATGATTCTGTGTGATACAATTATCGAATATAAAAATTATAGAGAATAAGTGAAGAAAGCAAATAATAGTATCTAATATATTTTATATTCGATATGCTTTCAGTTCCTTTCACGTGTAGTAATTGTAACATTGCATATTCTTATAATATATCGTAAAATTTAAAATTTAAGTTTGTTGGTAATCAAAATATTCTATATACTATACTGGATGATATTTTTGTTGATTCTAAAGTCTTTTTCCAGACCATACATTTAAATTTTTGCTGCATTTTGAACACCAAAATTTATTATATGCAAACATTTAATCATCTGTTAATACCAGGTAATCTTATTTATAATTTAATTATCCATTAACTAAAAATCTATTTTTTTTATTACAAAATGCAAATTTATTGCAAATTTTTTGATCATATCCATCATTAATCAAGTGTATATTTTATAAAAAATAAACTCTTCAATGTGATTTTTTTAGTTTTTGTTTTATTTTCAATTATATTCTTTTCTAAATTTCATTTTACCATGAATTCGGTACCATGAATTCGGTTCATATTTATCATAATATAGAATAATACACTTCATATCGATTGTGTAAAAGATATACATATTCAGCTAATTAGCTCATATTATTTTCTATAAAATATTTAATTATATCACTGATATTACGTATACAATGATATAATTATATATTATATATTAAATAATAATAATTTCCCAACTCTAATTGCATGAAAGTTGCTGCGAATTGGACACTCACTTTAACCACAATCCATCCACCTATTATTTTGAGTGAATATTTATTTATTTTCATAATTTAAATAAATTCTTCTTTTGGTATATATTTACAAAACGTTCAAACTTTTGATCGTTGTGCAACGCAAACAATAAAAGAAGTTATAAAGAAAATCAACGCGGAAGACTAACCTAAAAATAAAATCTAAATTAAGACATTTTCTATCAATATTTTAAATTTCCATTATCATGAAAATGAAAAATAATTGATAGTTAAAAGCATAAAAAAAACAAAAAGAAAAAAAAAGTGAAATAAGCATTCTACAAAGCACTACTTTGCTCATTAATTATTTTATCTATTTAATTAACATCCTTAATTCTAAATGCATGCACTTAATTCTAAATATATTTTATTCAATATTCTTTTATGATCTTTGTTCCTATAAAGAACTCTGAAACAAATTTAAATATCACTTTAAAATATTTCAATCATTCCATCTATTCTAAAAATTATTTTTATATCCTTATTTACATAATAATTAAATATTTTATTTAAAATTTCTGCCTATTGAAAATTTAAAGGATTCTTTTCTAATACATCCATAACATCCACAACATTCATACAAACGACACAAATTTTTTTAAAAGAAAAAAATTTTAATTCTTTTAGAAAAGATTTACTATATAAATCACATATGGCAAGAAAAAATGCAAATGAGGATATATCAATGATGAGTGAGGACATATCGATGAATAAGTGACATTTATAACCTATCAAGGATTTGATTATTTCGAATAAGAAAATTTATGAATACGATATATGATCACATTGATAAATAGGATTAAATTAGAATTAAATTAAATTATTTCTTGAAACTTTGAATCAGAATAAGGAAAGCAAAGATGTCTTTCAATAAAAGGAAAAGGAAAACATTAAATACATCAATTTAAATCCTAAAAAACTAAATGTTTGATTCTATCTAATGTAAGAAATGAAAGAATTTTCAGACGATATTCTTTTTAGTCTATTCCGTTGAAGAAATTCCTAAAACAGAATATATAACAGAATTAATGAAACTCAATAAAAGTAGTTTTTAAATAAAGATCAAATATCATTTCGTAATTATACTTCTTTTTTTTATTTATTTTTTCAAATTCATATCTGTAACAAACTCAATTATTCGATTAGTAATTACAAATAATTTATATTTAAGAAAAGAAATATTAATTATTGAAAAATCAAATTATTAAAATATTGTTAAGTAATTTATAATTTTAAATAAAAGATATTCACTTGTAAAAACAAATATTTTACTTTTTAGTATTTATTACTTAACAATATTTTCAATAACAAATGTTTTTAATAAAGAGATGCTGAAAAGAAAAAGAGATAGCCAGAAGAGCTACCATAATAATCCAATTGTAAACCCGAACAAACCGTGAAATTTTTTTTTTTTTTTATTTCGCAACACTAATATACTAAATTTTTCAAAGAAAACCCGAAGAGTGCTTTATTATATTTGCAATTCTTAATTAACAAAAAAAGTAAAAAAAAAAAAAAAAAAAATAGAAGATTCATGAAAGTATATGTTCTTAGTATAATGCTTATTTACAAAATTCTAATAAATTATTTTATGCACTCATATTTTATTAAACGCAACACTAATTGCGGAATTGTAGCCATATTAAAGGCTACCGTCGTATGATCCACTTTTGTGCAACTTTTTTAGTTGCATATAGATGAACCAAGAACAGGAACACTTCCACAATTCAAGTGGAAGAAATATGGACAATATTTGTGAACGCAACACTACTATATAAAACACGATCATTCGTTAACGCAACACTACTATAAAAAACGCGATCATTTATCAACGCAACACTAATTTTTAAAATGAATTTAATATTATTATATTAATTAATAAAATTTACTATTATTCTATTATATAAATGAAAAATTACTTTAAATATCTCTAGATATTATAAATAATACTATAGGATATTAGGATATATAAATTCAAAATTAAATTAAAAAAAAAGTAATAAAAAATAGATTAATTCATAATCAAACTAATTAAAAAAAGCAAAACAAACAAACGCGATCATCATTTTATCGCAACTAATTCAAAACGCGAGATTTGTAAACGCAACACTAATTCAACCCGTACTTTATTTGTAAGCGCAACACTAATGCAAAACCGTATTGTCCATTGATAACTGGATCCGATGGGCCGGCATGCAAAACGGCCATATGATACAGCAACAATTACTACATATTACTAAAACGAGCACAGTGACAAAGTAATAACAATGACTTCCCATTCTTTGAACTGAAAAGAAGATCCAAAAAATGAGAAGCCATTCGTTGCAGCCCCTCTTCGCGACAGTTTGTCGAGGCCTCTTCGGTCTTCCTCCTTCGGGCGCGATGCCCGCTGAAACTTAAATCTAGGCTCGAGATTCCCTAATCGCTAATAAAAAAAAAAACAGAAAGAAATAAAAAAAAGACTAATTCGCGAAAGCTAAGTACACATGGACGACCAACGATCGCAATGATCGTTCTCCGTACATGTGTAGAATCTCGAGCGCAACGTTCGTTTCGAAATAGTTCGCGAACACGACCGCGGAATTCGAAAAATCGATAAGCAAAACCAGAAACGAATGACACTGTCCATTCATCTCAGCTTCACCCTCGATTTTTCAAATTTGATTTCCTGAAACAGATTGTCACGCGAAAACGCGCCTACCCGATCGGAGACTGTGACAATCTGCCCGGCCCTACCTACTTATATATAGTTAACAATCATACCAGAAGTATACTACCTATCCTACCTAACTCTATATTTAAAAAATGGCAAAACAGGCATACCAACACACTCGTTCCACGTTTCTCATTCATAATACTCGGGCGCAAATGCCTACACTAGGGAAAGCGTCCCGGGACACCTCCGACACCCGAGCTTGGCATACATCTTTCACACTCTAAATTTACGTACCGTTTTCCTGAAATCGACTGACGATGGCTAGTGATCATTGCGTAAACGCAATAAAAATGCGTGTATTCTAGACTAAATGATATTAAATTTATATCATTATATTATAATTTGAAAGATTAGAAGATTAGAAATACTATTATTTATTGTTACATCCGCAACATTTAATTATAAGAGTAAAGTATTTTGATTGTAAATTGTAATTGAATTATTAATAATAAAGGATAATAATAATTGAAACGACGCAATTCCACAGCCTAATCACACACACAATGTGGAAAGTACGTCGTGCACGATACACTAACGCATTGTCAGTCGCTGAAAAATTTTTATTAACTTATGAATTAAGGTCATCATGCCCATCGCCTCTCTCTCACCCAAGTAGCACCTGAGCACGTGAGTGAGTTCCTGGCAATGAACATGGAAGGATTAAATCTGAAAATCCTAAGCTAAAAAAATATTAATATATTTATTTTTTATCTAACGGGTTAATATTTTTTGACTTTGCATTATATTCTTATTATATTTCAAATAAATGTGACTATTTTATATATAGTATAAATATAATATTTTATTCTACTGATATTTGATAAATTATAATATTAATATATGAGTGAAAAAATTATTCCTGATTCTATTTTATATTTTTTGATTTAATAAATTGTTAAAATTAAGCATATTAAATAAAAGAAGAATTTATTTAAAATTTACTACAATAATAATAAGTATTAATGAAAATATTCTCAGGTGATTCCTTCATCAGAGTATATTTTCGAAAAATATTGTTCAAAATTTATTGCTCTGATTCTGAAATCTACCTGTCGCGAAATGTCTTCTTGCGCATAAAATTTAATTTATATTTATAAAAAAAATTGAACTACTTATAGATATATATATATTATATTGAAACTCATTACATAATGTAATGAGTTAATCAAATAACTTGAATATAAATATTATTAAGCAAAAGAAATAAAAATAATTTATTATTGCATTAACAATAATAAACTGTATATATATATAATAATTGTAACGAAATTGGTGGATATCCGACTTTTCCATTATTAAATTCAAATTAGCATTAAGTACTCATTTATATTAAGTATCATTTATTACTCATATATAATTTTATTTTAAATTATAATAATTTAAATTAATTGGTGTATTTTATTAGTATATATATATATATATTTTATTATTAGAAAATTGCTAATAATATTATTCAAAAAAATGAAGCGCAAGAAAATCCTGACCTAAACTAATGAATAAAACAAAAGAAATAAATGTTATTACTCACTGGTATTATAAATACCAGCGGTCACTGTGCTCGTGCAAAATTCTACGTATACAACCAATCACCCGTGTCGATTCGGATTCTTTTATCCTACGACATGATTGAGTGATCGGAGGAATCAAAATGCATGCGACTCACCGTATGATGCGATGAACATTGTTGTGGCATAGAAGTTATTGAGAAGAAAGTTGTTATCAGATAGAAAGATGTGAAAGTTAGCAGAAATCTGTAACAAAATAAGAATAATCTAATTTAA